TAAGAACCAAGAGACTCATGTAATGGTACAAGATCCCAATGATGAATGTAACTGTATTTTATACCTAAAATGTACCAATAAAGTTAATGGGGAAAAAAAAAAACCAACAGTTACTCCCTTGCACAATTGAGACTTGTGTTTTTCTAAGAGCTTCCTGTTACTTTATTCAATTTTCTTACCTGCAAATGGGAATAAAGATTTTCCCAACCGGGACTGTGAATTCATGGTAAATGTACTGATAGAATTCTGTCACTCAAGGATAAATATGCAACAACTTCCTTAACTGTAATAAATGTAGACTTACTCCATGCCCTGGAAGAAATATGGTCTACCCAATAATTTTCACACAATTGCAAAATTTTCTATTTTCACACAATTAACTTCACAAAGTACTGTATGATGACCCAGACAATTACTATTCACTCACATCACTAAGGAATTATTTTTGTCTAGCAACCTGGAATCTTTAGTCAACTTAAGTCCTTAAATTATCCAGTTACCTATACATAATTACATTTATTCTTAAGCACACAAGAGAGTGTAGAGAGAGTTGGTGATCATTCATGGAGGATTATCTCGACTATAAGAAAATTCTCCCCCCAAAAAGAAGAAAAAAAATCTATGATTCTTTTTGTTACATTAACATTTCTTATCCTTGTAAGATTGCTATAATATACTAACATAATTACAAACTTTCAAGAATATAGTTTAAACTTCTGCTGTGATCATTAATTTCAATGAATCACTAGAAAAGGAGACATTAAGAGTAAATTCACCGTGTCAACCTTTGGAGGAATGAAATATACTCAAGCCTCTTTAGTCTCTTTATGGAAACCAGAATTTATTTATAAGTCATTCCTCCTCAACATTTTGGCATGTAATTTAATTCAAAAATCTAATGTCTTTCTTTTAGTATTTAAGAGAGAAAGTCATGTTTAATTTTTCCAAATACTGTCAATAATTTCTTTTCTCCCATTATTCTAGTTTAAAATGAAATATCTGGAATATTAAAAACTACCATTTCCTTGTTAAATATTAAGAGACAGTATACTGTTAAATCTTATTGAAAATCCCATTCTTGATAATTTTTTAAAATCTGAAGATACCATAAGAACAACTATTTCTTTTCCTCTGTCTCCAGAGAACATCCAATAAATTACTCTATAAATAAATCACTGGCATAAGTTTGTACAAATCTTGCAGTTCCCCAAAGGCTGCTTCAGACTCTAGCTGCCTACACAGGAAGTGAACTTATTTTGAGCAGGCTGGAGACAAGAGCAGGAGGTAAGATCAGAGGTAAAGACTGGGATAAGTGGGCTCAAAAAAAAAGAAAAACCCTAAAAGGTTTTTGAGAGGTGAGTTGAGGAAGAGATACAAACAATTCCAGGAGACAACTGCTTCAGTTAAGGGGTCCCAGTGCTATAAAAAGATGGCTCTCAGACACAATTAACAAAGATCAACATTCCTCCATCCAAACTCCACAATGATTATCATAATGATTTACAATATGTTAGCATAGAGAAATAGATCAAATAATGAGGAATCAATAAAGTTTAGAATTTCTCAAATCCTAAATAAATCTGGACAACTGTTGGAGGAAGGGCAATAAGAAAAGACCAAATGACTGCCTAAATGCATCCCATGGAATACCATGCCTCATCAATTTGTTCTCTCTCCACCAAAACCAGTTTTCCTGGTACCAAATACCAAGAATCATGGCCAAAGAGATGAGCAGGCAGCCTCAGCAAGACTGTTTCACACCTCTAGAAATAAATCTTTCTGTTTGCTCTGAGGGTTCACATCACGAGACAACTGAGAAAGTCCAAAGGCACAGCTGCCCAGATAGGTACAGTAAGAAAATCACAAAGTAGAGCTGGCTTTATTTGAAAGCAGTTTGCCTAGCTTCACACCCACCCAACTTCACAGCAGTCTGGTTCTCTCAGGGGACAGGAATTTTGAGGAGTACTTGTTTCCAGACTTATTACTTTCATGGGCAGCAGGGGAAGTCACTAGCTATGATCTTAACCAAGAGTCAGGCTCAGGAATTCCATCATTAAGCTTACATTTCAATGTCCTATCTCAGAGGTATGGGCTTTTAATAGTCTTTTCATCCTGACTTACAGGAGGTAATCCTATTAAAAGTTCAGCCCACCTGGGAATTTATCTGCTTCTCTGTGGGTTACCCAGGCTACCTAGGTAATACCACAGAACAAACAGAAGCATCTCTATAAGTTGGCCCCTTGTCAGAGAGCATCCCTGAGATGTGTGACATTAGCAAGACTGCAGAGTGCCAGGATAACCTACCTGCCACTCTGGTCTGAGGTCCAAGTAACTGACTGCCCCTCAGGTTTGGTTTTGTAGGATATCCTGATTGCATGGGGAAAGTCAGTAGCTGTCTGAGCCCCTGTCTTCCTGATCTGTAAGCTCCAAGTGTCAGTGTCAAAGAAGAGTTCCCCGCAGCTAGGAGCCTGGCTACAGCGAACAAAATAGTCTAACTGCTTCCTCCAATGAACTGCAGGCAGAGTCACAAGTTCATGAACAATCTCATTCCTGAGCTCTTCAGAAACAGTCGTGAGCTTGGAAGGCCTTATAAATTTTTCAATACCGGGCACAGCAGCAACATCCACCTCTTCGACCTTTAACACAGATAAATCACAGCAGTCCAACACTAGCAAAAAATCTTCTCTCCCATGATTCTCTGTGTCACAGCAGTACTTTGAGCTAGAGATCCCAGAAGCCTGTTCCTGGTTGTCATGGTTACCATCTTTATCAGAAGTATCTTCTTCACCTTTATCACAAATTACAAAATCACTATATCCCACATTAAATGTTGTTCTTGCATTTGTCACAGGAATATGGCAGAGTTCAGGTGTCCTAAATTTGTAGGCTTTGTTTGATGCCAACTGGCAAGTTTCCTTGGTAGAGCTAGTCTGTTTCCTGAATCTGCTTCCATCCTCAAAGAAAAGCACTATGGTGCCCTCAATGATGCGACTTTCAAAATCCACCTCTAAATCCAGTACATAATGCTTCACAAGCATGTGGCTGGTGTTGGCCATGAGAGGCAGATCATCTCGGGAAGGATCCAGCTTTATTTCCATGGTCTAGCTTGCTGTTCGAGAGCTTCGCTAAAATCTCAGATGGGGCTTTGTCTCTGCCTTAATCTTCTACAATCATAAGTGGCTGCTAAAAAAAAAAAAAAATCTCATGTCACAAGTTATGTTTCACAATTTTCAGTCCCCTAGCAAAGAAGAAAAGTACAATTAGGTAATTTCCAAAGAAGGCCCTTGAGCTGGGAATTTAGCTCAGTGGTTCCGCCTCCTGCCTCACAAGCACAAGGTCCCAAGTTCCATCCCAGGTACCAAATCAAAACAAAAAACAAAGAAGGGCCTAAATGCTCCTGCAGACCGCTGCTCCTCCAAGTTGACTGCCATCCTTAATAAAACCTCATTGTGGTAGATGCTCATGGCTACAAAGCAGACTAATCTTCTTGACTGACATGAAAGAAAGCTGCATTATGGGGTTTCTAAAAATATTTCAATTACCAATGGAATAAAATAGGCCTCCACAAAGCCAGAAGAATCATGTTCCTAACTAGAATAGTCCTTGTTTTGGAAAAGAGCAATTGTTATGCAAAATCGTAACTGAGAATCACTGTGCCTCTTGTTTTAAAAGATATTAAATGTATCATTTCTAATTTTGTGCATCAAAAGATAAGTGATTGTTTCTCTACTGTGATTCTAAGTAACAAGTGTGAGTGAGGACTGAATGGCCTCATACATTTTATTCTTTGAGAGTAATAATTTAATACATACAATGTAACTCCAGGGATTAATGTACTTTTCACATTAGGACTGCTCTCATATCAGCACTTCCAGTAAATTATGGGAAAATGAGCCAATTTACCGGGAGTGCATTCTAAGTATTCCTTTGAGATTGTTCATGGAGATTTTTCAAATTTATAGTTAAATACTCAAGGTATATCATTACATCTTAATAGCTGAAAACCCATTAACATTCTGGATAATAGCCTTCTTGTGGCAAACAAAAGGTCTTCTCATTTGGAAAAAAAGTATGCAAATACCTATAAAAGGAGAGAAATTAAAATGTAGAAACAGATGTTGTAATAAAATGTACAAATTCTTCATAAAAGTTCTGAATCAAAATGTATTATTATATAATAGCAATACAGCTAAAAGAAAAATTATTTGAAATTATTTCAGTGCCTAATGTGTACCTAATTTCTTTAAGCATATGCTATTCGTTTATTCTTTTATCAAAAATATTTTTAAATGGCAGAGGAAAAATAAAAACTCCGACAGAGTAGATATATTTAAAACAATTTTTGTATTTCTAAATATCAGGAGGGATTCTTTTATCAACTATAAAACATTACTTGCTTGACTTTTCAAGTAAATTGTGCCCCTGTACTGTTTTAACTTGCTTCTCTTCTGACTTAATCTGCCTGTCCACTATATCTCTTTATTTCCTTCCCTTCTAGAATCTCATTTTGGGGCCAGGCATTTAGCTCAGTGGTGTTGCCGCCTGCCTAGCAAGTGCTAGGTCCTGAATTTGATCCCCAGAACTACCCCCCCCACACACACACACACAGAAAAAAACCTTGGAATCTCATTCTAGCGAACTACCCTATTGAATTTTTGGTTTCTACCTCTCCACAGGTGATTTCCTCATCAAAGTCTCAGCTAATCTTAAGACTGTGGCCTCCTACATCCTTGTACAATCTGGTCAAAGCTATTTTTCTAGTTGTGGAGATGATACTCCCTTTGTATCCCTGTCTGCTAGGCAGATGGCTTGCTCAAGACACTACTTCCTGAAGATGGCCTGACTCCATCCCTCCCTGACTTCTTCACTGAGCCTTCTGCCATCTGAGGACACTCTTAGCTTCCATCTAAGAAGCTGCCCAATCATATTCTCATATCCACCTGCCCAATCCTATTCTCTCTCCATGCCTCAGCTCAAGCACAACTGCCTCTCAAAACCCTATCCTGGTACCTATGTCTCATCCACCAAACTGAGGATATTCATGACTTTAAATATAATAGGAGTAGAGAGAAATTAGGAATGCAGATCATAGCTTGATATTTCTTTATGCAGAAGCTAGTACTTCTCTTGAGCCTAGAAAAGTCAACAGGTGCAGGAGACAAACTAGAGTTATATTTCTGTATGAGAATGACCGAACTTACTAATGATTAACAACCTCTGATAAAGCCATTGACTATATCCATGTAATGAGAAACAGTGATGCTAAAATTCCATCCTGCTGGTGTTCTGAGCTGCTAACATGCAGCCTGATTGGGCTTTTCAAACAACATTAATTTATTACAAATGAAATCACACACAAAACCCTTGTGGCTGTCTAAACATTCATATTTAAGGAAAAACGGCTTAGCGCTTATATGTAGATATAATCATTCATTGTTTAACCCTAGTAGATGCCTTCATTTATTTCTGAAAATTTGTATAATTTAAGAACAAAATACATTAAATAGAGCAGGGAACTCTGAGCCCCAGGCAGTGGACTGATATCAGTCCACTCCATGGCCTAATGAAACCAGGCCGTATAGCAGGAGGTAAGTGAAGAATGAATGAGTGAAGCTTCATCTGTATTGACAGCCACACCCCATTACTCACATTACTGCATGAGCTCCACCTCCTAACAGATCAGCAGCGGCAATAGATTCTCATAGGAATATGAACTCTACTATGAACTGTGCATGACAGGGATCTAAACTGCTCACTCCTTATGTGACTCTAAGGCCTGAATACCAGAGGTAGAGCAGAGGTAGCCATGCTAACACTGGGGAGTCGCTGCAAGTAGAGATTAATATTAGTAGAGAAGTTTGACTGCACAGAGACTACAATAAATCAGTTGTTGCAAACTCATATCAAAACCCTATCAGTGACTGGCAAGTGAAAATTAGGCTGTATGTGGTGGCAGGCTTTATAGCGGCAAGTGAGTTGACATACAATTGTACAGCTGCATCTAGTAGCAGGCTTTAAATAAGAATCCAACACTTATTCCAGTCCATACTTGTTGTACCCATTTTATTTACCACTTCTGTCCATGCCTCTTTCCTATACTATACACTTGTCTCAGTCACAGTTTGGGTAAGCTCACAAGCTAACTAGCCAAAATGACTAAAATGTAAACATCACTGGAGAGCTTCTTTGAAAAGGGAGAAAGACCCATGATGAGACAGCAGAAGACTCTAGGACTGCCAACAAAAGGAAAGTGGCATTTACAAGAAAACGGCAAGAATTCTACTTAAATTACAGATTTATTGCAGCAGGTGATTCACATTCTCCAAGCCTGCTTCGTATAATATGTGGTGAACAGCTATCCAACCAAGTATGAAAGCTTCAAAACTATTTCACCACATGGAGAGCAAGCACCTGCATTAAAAGATAAACCTCTGGAGTTTTTCAAAAGAAAAAAATTTAAAAAGAAGCAATTATTTAAGGTCACTACTTCATCAAATGTGTCTGCATTGAGAGCATCATTCTTTGTGGCTAGTTATAATGCTAAAGCTAAGAAGCCCTTTACACTGGTGAAGAATTGATCCTGCCTGCTGCTAAGGACATACGCTGTGAACTTTCAGGAGAGGCTGCAGTTCAAATGATGGCACATGTTCCTTTTTCAGCTAGCACTGTAACTAGACAAACTGATGAAACAGCAGCAGATAATCAGGCACAAATTCTAGAGAGGACTGAGTCACAATGATATGCAATCCAGGTTGACAAGTCTACCAACGTTAGCAAGACAACAATGCTTGTACTTGTTTGATATATTTTTCAGGAAGATGTGCATGAGAATATGTTACATGCATTTTTATTGCCAATCAACACCACACCTGCAGAACTATTCAAGTCTCTGAATGATTACATACCAGGAAAACCAAACTAATCCCTTGATGTTGATATATACACCAATGCAGTGAATGCCATGACCAGATGACTTTTTGGTTTCACAACACAGGTCAAAGAAGTTGCTTCTGAATTTGAGCTACGGACTATGTTAGCCATAGAGAAATGCTTGCTATAAGAAAAATGTCACCTGAACCTTACATTTTGCAAGATGTGATTAAAATTATCAACCACATTAAAGCACATGCCCTTGGCTCATATTTGTTCATGTAGCTCTACAAGGAGATGCACACAGACCACACACATCTTCTCCTATACACAGAAGTGAGAAAGCTGACAGAAGTGAGATGGCTTTCTAAAGACAGACAACTGGCCAGAGTTTCTAAATTATGAGAATCACTCCAGAGATTTCTTTTAGAAAGACAGTCACCATTGGCAGCACATTTCTGTGACACAGAATCGTTCACTAAACTTCCTTATGCACGTGAAATATTCAACCTGCTCAACAGACTCAATTTGTCACTTCAGGGGAGCATGAAAAGTATATTCAAGTCAGCAGCTAAAGTGGCTGCATTCAAAGCCAAATTGAGATTATGGGTGCAATGAGTGAACACTGGGAGTTTTGAAATTTTTCAAACACTAGCAGAGATTTTGAAAGACTGAAAAGCAGACTTCTTTCTCTCAGTTGGTGCATTTAGCTATCTCAGCTTTAAAAGAGCTTGAGAATCAGCCCACTGCAGACAGGTGGTTCTGCGCACGCCCTACCGAGGTGCCCAGTCGTGTGGAACACGCCAAATCAGCCCGTGCCCCAGCAACAATCCACTGGACCCCTCCCCCGCTCCTCTGTACAGCCACCTGGTTCCACACTACAAAGACGCAGAGGACACCGGACCACCAGACCACAGTACTGCTCCTGGCTCAGAGGTAGGGGCTTCTGAGCCGCCATCCCACTGCTCCTGGTCCA